AAACCTCCTCCAATTTATCATGTTCTAGAAGATCTGAGACCCAAGGACGAAAGCGAGCAGGAGGCGCAAGACACAAATGATGAATAATGTTAGGAAATAATTCTGTTTTTGGGGGGGGACCACCTTATTTTGTGCCCGCGTGGAATTACTGTAGTAGAATGCTTTTGTAGAGGTAGCTTTATGGGTTTTATATATCCCAAACTGTGGAGCCTGCCTAAATATTTGAAATTTAATAAACAAGCTTTAATCGTATTGTTCAAGGTGGCAAAGCAAATGTTTATCTGTTGTTATATACCAAGTGCTGAAGTGTTCACATAATGGTCTAGAACCGCCCTCAAGTGATGTAGTTATTTGCATACGAGAAAGTAATCTGCTATATATAGTATATGCTAGATTTGTGGATACTGTTCATTCGAAGGAGCAATTATCTGGGGGATTCTAGTCTTGAATTGACTCGAAAATGCATTCTTTTGTTCCAAACAGCTCTAAACTGGGATAACTGAAAATCCATACAGTGGCAGATTTACTCCGGCCACTATTTCAAACTGTTCTTCATGCGAAAATAATCGTGAGAGCGAAGCATGAGTTTAGTTTGACGTACAACAAGTCATCCGGCGTTTTAGCTAATTAGCTTTCAACAGAAGGGGGTGCTCATTGAACGCTTTCTTAAGTTGTTGCAGTGCTATACATGTACTAGCCACTTGTAACAACGGGGTGGGAGTGACTGCCCACAATAAGTTCTGAAAGCCTATACATGATTATGATAGCTGAATAACTGTAATTAACGAAGCTGTAACGATTAACAATTTCAACCATGAAAGCATTTGTAGGCTATAAATTAAGCTATCTATTGTATTCCATGTAAGGCAATAAAGTCTAAAGAACTAAGATTTCTAACTATAAATGCTGGTCATATGTTGGTAAACTCTTCCCCCCACCCCACCCCCCCTACCCACTTCGTCAATATTTCGCAAAGTGTCCACTACCATGCGTTCTTCTATACTTTGTAAAGTTGAAATAACAAAGTTAGTTGCATTACATTTGTAAACCAAAACTTATAACGATATATCACATACTGATTAATGTATAAAAGAATTGTAAATAATAAATAAATAAATTGTAGTAAATAGTGAATAATCTTATTAGAAATGGCGTAGATAGATTAGAAGACTTTGAAAATAAAAGATCAAAGTTTGTTTTTGTTGTTATAGTGTTTAATTGACTCCTCTCTCTGCAGGCACGCTAAGTAATTCCTCATTTTATCCTAAGTCATCAATGACTTTGTAATGCAGGAAATGATGCAGGTGGAGAGCTTGTAATCTCTCTCAAGTGTTGTTTTGTCCGACTGTAGTATGGGATGATTAATACGATTTCCTCTTTCCCTATCCTTGGCCGAATCGATTTGATGTTGCACAGAACTTGTGGGTGTTGACTTAAGTATCTCTGATGTTGTATTGACAAAAATCACTGCTGAATTATTTAGCATGGTTAGATCATGCAGAAGTAGTATATGTTCTTGAATGTGGGGTATACCTTAAAGTGATCTCGTGTTGTACAGAACTCACTGCTGAGTTAAGCATGGTTAGATCATGGTAGTACATGCTCTTGAATGTGAGCTACCTTAATGTGATCAGAATTTGTGCAGAATTACTTACTGCTGAGTTAAGCATGCATGGTTAGATCATGCAGAGGTAGTACATGTTCTTGAACATAAGCTACCTTAAAGTGATCTCGATGTTGTACAGAACTCACTGCTGAGCATGGTTAGATCATGCAGAGGTAATATATATACATGTTCTTGAACGTGAGCTACCTTAAAGTGATCTGATGTTGTACAGAACTCATTGCTGAGTTAAGCGTGGTTAGATCATGCAGATATAGGCTACACACGTAAAAACGCATAACTTGTAACAAACCTACAGCAGACTTGTAGCAATGCTGTTCCAAGTACATAAGTAAGAGCACTTGAGCAAGATTATTAATCATTATTTAATTACATGTAGCAAATACCATGTATATTTGAAACATCCCTATGTTAATGCATTATAAAAACAAAACTAACGAGGCGCTCTACCACAATTCTTCAGAACAAACAGTTGTTGAACACTGAGTTAAGCATGGTTAAATCATGCAGAGGTAGTACATGTTCTTGAATGTGAGCTACCTTAAAGTGATCTGATGTTGTACAGAACTCACTGCTGAGTTAAGCATGGTTAGATCATTCAAGAGTAGTACAGTACATGTTCTTGAATGTGAGCTACCTCAAAGTGATCTGATGTTGTACAGAACTCACTGCTGAGTTAAGCATGGTTAGATCATTCAAGAGTAGTACAGTACATGTTCTTGAATGTGAGCTACCTCAAAGTGATCTAATGCTGTACAGAACTCACTGCTGAGTTAAGCATGGTTAGATCATTCAAAAGTAGTACAGTACATGTTCTTGAATGTGAGCTACCTCAAAGTGATCTGATGTTGTACAGAACTCACTGCTGAGTTAAGCAGGGTTAGATCATGCAGAGGTAGTACATGTTCTTGAATGTGAGCTACCTCAAAGTGATTTGATGTTGTACAGAACTCACTGCTGAGTTAAGCATGATTAGATCATGTAGAGGTAGTACATGTTCTTGAATGTGAGCTACCGTAAAGTGATCTGATGTTGTACAGAACTCACTGCTGAGTTAAGCATGGTTAGATCATTCAAGAGTAGTACAGTACATGTTCTTGAATGTGAGCTACCTCAAAGTGATTTGATGTTGTACAGAACTCACTGCTGAGTTAAGCATGTTTAGATCATGTAGAGGTAGTACATGTTCTTGAACGTGAGCTACCGTAAAGTGATCTGATGTTGTACAGAACTCACTGCTGAGTTAAGCATGGTTAGATCATGCAAAAGTAGTACATGTTCTTGAATGTGAGCTACCTCAAAGTGATTTGATGTTGTACAGAACTCACTGCGGAGTTAAGCATGGTTAGACCATGCAGAGGTAGTATATTTTCTTAATTTGTAGGCGATGACAAAATCATCTGATATTGTACTAACATAAGTGACATAGTAATGAACGACTTGCGCTTTAGACTAAATTTTAATCTAAATAAGAACAACGAAATCTATCACTACAGCTAGAAAGAGCGTCTTGGAATTAGTAATATTACAAAGTTTGGTTACGAAATGTTGTAAAATACGGAAAATATAGCCCTTCAAAGTTGGAAAATTTGTATACTTTTGTATTACGTGCGTGAATTGGTAACTAAATTAGTTACCAATTTCCGCACGTAATAGAAATGTATACAAATTTGCCAACTTTGCAGGGCTATATTTTCCGTATTTTACAACATTTCGCAACCAAACTTTGCAGTTTTTCTAATTTTGATAACTTCTTTCAGAAAATATCCTTTCTTATTCCCAGATTAAATTCTGTTCTGTTCTGTTCTGTTCCACCCAGTTCAAAAACAGTTACGCGCTCAGTGAAATTAACGATTAATAATAAATTATTGGGTGAAAAATTTTTGGGAATTATTATAGATACCGGAAGAAACATGTCTCTGAACTTTCTAAGAAGATTGCAAGAGGAATTGTTTTATTAGCAAAACTTCGCCATTTTGTCAATACTGCAGAAACTTTGATTCAAGTTTACTATTCAATCGTTTTTCCATTCTTTATATATGGCATTCTTATTCGAGGCAACACTTATAAAACAAACATTGAACAACTGTATGACCATTTTACAAAAGAAAGGTTTGCGTATATTATATATATTATAACTTTTTCTAGTTTTTATGTTCACACATCGCCTCTTTTTAAAACATATAATTTACTAAAATTTCCTGACATCGTAAAATTTTATATTGCGATTTTTATGCATCAGTTTAATTCTGGCGAACTCCCAAAATTTTCTTCTCTCTTATCAATAGCAAACACAAATACAATACACGTTTAGCATCCAAATCTTCTTTTTTTCCGCCTGTGACTCGAACAAATTATGGAATTTTCAACATAAGATATGTTGGTCCAAAATCAAATCAAAAATCTGGAACTCATTTGATAAGTCAAGTAAAGCACTCAGTATTTATTCTTTTAAACGAAAACTTGAGCATTTTCTTACAGTAGCGTATACTAATTTCATTACATGGTCTTAATTATACTTTATAATAACGGCTTATTGACCGAACATGAGGTCTGTACTGTAAAATATCAGACCGAGGTTTTTTAGTATGGACCGAGCGACGAAGGAGCGAGGTCCATGCAAAAAAACAGAGGTCTGATATTTCACAGTACAGACCGAACAAGCGAGGTCAGTAATCGGTTTATTATATGGCTGAACTGAGTCTGTGAGCATATGCTTTTCGCGCGAATTAAATCGGCTATCGTCAGTTTCACTGGGTAACAATATACGGTAGGCATGCATGCATGCTCAATCTAAAACAATTTGGTTGTTTGAAATTTTTATCTGTACAATTGGAAAATTAAAAGGCAAAAATTTTCTTTGTTTGCAAAGCAAAAATTTCCCGCCATATAAACGACATCCGGGACACCGGTCCAGATACGGAAAATACGGACCACGGTCCGGATATGGGTTTTTACGGACCGCTTGTCAACCAATCAGAATAGAGAATTTTGAAAAGCCATATAATAATAGTTTATACATTAACATGCTATCTTAATGTTTCAGTGAATTATTTCGTTTAAGGTCATCCGACTCAACTAGCCATGCAGTAAAAGTTATTTCGAATGACTGTACTTTTTTTCTTTCTGTAAAATTTTGTGTGTGTTTATTTTTTTGTAAATGCAAATACGAAGTACAAATAAATATTGATTGATTGATTATTGATTGATTATTGATTGACCCTGGGTGCGGTAACGTGCCCCCAGTGTGCCCTTTTATTTCGTGTCAGTTTTTCTTACTGTGTTTAAATACTATTTTGTAATTTTTTAGTGCAATTTTGGATAAAATAGATTACCATTAAGGATCATGCTCGATCTTCACTATTTTCGTTCATAGGATGGCCTGTTAAGTCAAGGCAATCTTGATCTTATTATGAGAATTTACAACAAGATACCAAAACTGTCATCAGATGGGAAGCGGTTACAGGTGTGTCATACTGAAAACTCTAGTTTGCATGCTGTTATATGAGATAGTGGCTACAGTACAATTATACAGGGTGTATCAAAAAAAAGGTAATCGAACTTCAGCGCGCTATTGTATCTGAATTACTCTAAGTATGAACGAGATTTTTTCACATTCGGAAAGATCATGCTATTAGCTGTTAAATGACATCTTCTTCATGCCAAATGGATAAAAAATGAGCAAATACGAATCCGATAAAAAATCTTAGTCAGAATCGCATATTTTCACCGTTGAGAGTTAGGTCTAAAACCATTGAAAATGAATTCCCTTTAGGACTTAAGTTGATGAATTTCACTTCATTAAACTGCACACATATTCATAATCTTAGCTAAGCTACGACACGTTCGTGATTAATTGCTTTTTTCTTTTGTTATGCATTGTTTTAATTAGGCACAGAGGTGAAAATATGCGATTTTGACTAACATTTTTAATCGGCCTCGTATATGCTTATTTTTTCTCCACTTGGTATAAAAAGCATGTCATTCAATAGCTAAAAGCCTGATCTTTCCGAATATGAAAACCAATTGTTCATACGCAGAGTAATTCACGTATAATAGCGCGCTGATGTTCGATTACCTTTTTTTTTATACACCCTGTATACAAGTTGTTCCAGCCTAAATCCATATGGTAAGTATAACATCGCATGCGAAATGAAAGCAAGAATGCCTTTCTTTCATTTCACATGTGACGTCACGCTTACCAAACCTGCCAAAGCCAAGCGAGTTGGGGCGTAGGGGTCTGTTTACATGATCTTGAACTGTCTGTGCCAGTGTAGGTACTAGGTAGTGCCAAAAGTATGAACAGGCTTTCGTTGGTAGGGACGCAACTACCAGAAAAATATAAGGAGAATTTCGACGTTTTGAGCGAAGGCCCTTCGTCTGGAATTACTACTTAACAATTAGACAACGAGGCCGAGTTGTCTATGAGCGAATAGTCAACGAGGCGAAGCCGAGTTGACTATTTGCTCATAGACAACGAGGCCGAGTTTAATTTACAACTAGGCTGCAAACACAATACAAAAATACACAAAAAACATTATAAAACCATTAAAGGTAAACAAATATTTTAGTTTTTGTTCGCGTAAAATGTTTTACAAAATTCAGTTTTAATTTTAAAATTTCATTGAGTGTATGTTATTTTGTCTATTTTCTTACCCTTAAAAATTGCCATTCCATGTTTTTGTTGCTTTTTTTCGGGGGGTTTTAGTACAGAATTGTTCAACAAGTCGTCCAAAAAATCATCAGACACTTCGGCAAAAGTGCAAAACGCGATATTTTCCGCCATTTTGAATTTTCTATTAGTAGGCTATCACTAATAGCCTACCAGTAGCGTAGCCAATCAGAAGGCACCATATGTGATAGCCTACTAGTAGGTTTATACTAATAGCCTTTAGCCGCTAGTAACTCCAGACGAAGGGCCTTCGCTCGAAAAGTCGAAATTCTCCATGATCTCTTATCACGGAGCACGGCCATGGTGGAAGGGGTTAGTTATATTAATAATTTAATAATTTAATAAAAATACCGATTTGTAACCTATTAGGTTAAATTACATCAGTAAAAAGTCTCATTATACTACAATAGAATATCTAGATGCATAAAATTATTCATAACTTCAGTTGAAAAAGTTATAGAGTTCAAATTAAAAATTTAAAAATATTAAAATTATGGTCTATTCATATGTGAAACCATCTGTGGAAAAAACGATTTCATAAATCTGTCCGTTTTACAACTATAGTTATTATAATCGCTTCCATAACGTGTATTATAGTTATGTTCAAGTTTAGGCGGTAAGAGGTCACCCAATTTGTCTCCATGTGCATTTTTAACAAAAAAACGTTCGCATAATAATCGCCGCCGATCTTTCAGTAAGGGTATACCAGTAATACTGCAAGCTTCTCTATAAGTAGCGAATGGCAAGACAATACGCAGAGCCCGCTTCTGGAGTTTTTCGATATCTTCACTTAGGTATTCTGTAATATTGAAGTGCCAAACTTGGCAGGCATATTCGAGTACTGGTCTGATAATGGTGCAGTATACCAAAATTAGAATGCTATTGTCGGCATTTGATCGTTTTAACAACCTTAGCATATAAAGGCGTTTTCCCGCTTTTTTAACAATATGGTTCACATGCTCGTTCCATTTCAAATCATCTTGGATTGAGAGACCAAGAATTCGGGCAGATTTTACCCGTTCAATACCAACGTTATTTATAGTTAACGGTAAAAACTCATGTTTTTCTCTTGCAAAGTCAATTACCATTTCCTTACATTTGCCGATGTTGAGCTTCATATTATTAACTTCACACCAATTATAGATAACATTCACTAGATCTTGTAGTTCACTACTCTCAGTTGATGTAACTCGTTCAGCAAACGTACTGTCATCAACATACTTCCATCTATCGCTCCAATCAATAAGAAGATCATTTATCATAACAAGGAACAAAGCCGGCCCTAACACCGACCCTTGCGGCACTCCACCGTTTAACGTTTGCCAGTCCGAATGACAGTTAGCCAACTTGACTCGTTGTTTACGATCAGAGAGAAAACTTCTAATCCAATTTATAATGGTTTGGGAAACACTCATTTGTTGTAGCTTATTCACCAGTATGTTGTGATCTATTCGATCAAAAGCTTTTTCAAAATCAAGCAAGAATACTCTCACCGCATTGCTTGAAGCATCTGTAGCACTCAGGAGATGATGGATCAGGCTCAGTAGGGCATGGGTAGCCGAGGAATTTTTAACGGAGCCAAACTGCCGCGTATCAATCTTTGCACCAATTGACTTAATGGGCTAATAGGATTATGGGCTAATCCTAACCTAAGGGATAATCCCCCACCCACCCTGTCAACATTCCCTGTTTGAGGAAACGGGAGAAAACCCACGAATTTCAGTGGAGCGTTGACTGACTCTTTTCACGTTAGTGTCATAAGTCCATAACGAGAATCGAACCTTCACTCTGCGCCACCGATAGGTCAACTCCCTATCCCGCCAAAATAGTTTACACATCATGCAACTGGTATTTCGTGACGTTTCCGCCTCTGGGCATTGATGAAGATCATAAGAATATTTACTCATTTACTTTGAACATATGAATATTTACTTTATCTTCTTTCTTTCTGCCGTGAACTAACTTGAAGTCTTCTCGGTTTGTTTAGATGATTGTTTGCTCGGCGACCTTACATTCCATCGAAGTAAAAAAATTGGCGGTAAGAAAACCCGATTTGTTCAACGTTGATCTTGTTGTAGCAATTCCAAAGCCCAACACTAATTTTTTAAATTGGAAAAAAGCCTAGATTATTTTGAATTAGGAAATTCCCAGTTTATTTTGAATTGGAAATTCCAGTTTATTTTGAATTGAAAATTAGCCTGTTTCCGGCCTCTGAGAAGGCTATGGCTAACACTATGAATGCTTGATTTTAACATTCCTTTATGTTTTTTCAGGACAAAATCATGAATTTTCCAACTTGGGTAGATCTTAAAGGCCACGACAGCGTCCCCGAAACAGTTCATCACGTGGTAAGATTCGATGTGTGAATAAATAGCTTTATCTCATTCATCAACAATGACACACCGTTCCTGTTAACTTTTATAGTTTTATTGAAGAAACTACTTTAATTAAAATAATTTCATATTCATAAATACACCCTTACAATGTGTTGTCACGTGTTAAGGTCACGTGTCATTCTATTACCTAATCATATAATTATCAATCAATGTCAACAATGTTCCCAATTTATCCTTATATGTTCTTATGCATAGTAATATATGTTAACAATTACGCAACATAAAATTGAAATGAAAGTGCCAGAAAACATATTCTTATCATTTCTTGACATTTAACAGTTATTCGCCAAAGGCGAGGTGATTATCGGTGAATCAAAACCGAGACGGAAGTAGAGGTTTTTATTCACGATAATCACCGAGCCTGATCATGAGGTGAATAATTGTTTTAGTATAATTTGACAGGCGATTATTTGGAAAGAAATAAAAAGTATACACATTTCTTCGTCATTTAATTGCAAAACGGCTTCGGTCGCCATTTCGAAAATCGCTTAAGTGATTATCGCGTTATAATCACTTCAACGGCAACCAATCAGCGTGTAGAATTTTCAATAATCACCTATGTATACGAATCTCTGTTATTTCTAGATTGTCCATGTGGATCCTAAGAAGGATTATTCTTGGAAAAGTTTGAAACAGAAAGTCAAAGTAAGTGCCTGCACTTGGTTTGGTATACAGTAAATGTCATGTGAAAAGAATCAGTCAATGCTTTGCCGAAAGTCGTGGGTTTTCTCCGGGTGCTCCGGGTGCTCCGGTTTCTCCCCACAGGGAAAGTTGACAGGGTGGGTTAGGATCATAGAAATAATAGATATAGAATGCGTACTTGATCACGAATCATGTCTCCACTTTTTTTCATGCGTGCCCTTATAAATCCGCCATGTTTGAATTTGACTAGGAGTGCAAATTACAAAGTATAAACAAAGCTAAAACTACGTTTTCATCGTCAAAACGTTTGTCTTGTTGTCTAATTTGTAGTTTGGGGATAGATTTTGAGTTCTTTGAAGGCACAAACTGTCAAAGCAAATGTGCAGTTACAAAAACGGTGAAAATCGTGCAGCCTTGTAAACAAAGTAGTTTCGCCGGTTTCGCGTAAACTGATAACTTTATACTCATAAAACCTTTTTTTTTTTGCATGCTCTGAACGTGACTAATGTCACTGTTTTGCTAAGATCTTATAAGTTTACAAAATGATAGTTCTTTCTTCGTCGGATTTCGTTTTTCTTCGATGTAAACGAAGTTTTTTTTATGTTTTTGAAACAAAAATATTTAGTTGTCGATAGACTGTAAATTGTCTAAATAATCGTCGAAAACTATGGTTTCAAAAGCGTTGCCTCAAGCTCAAGCAACGTAGAAAAATATGAAAAGTAATTGTGTAAGTTTAAAAAGATTATTGAACTTCATTTATATTATAAAAGAGTTGAAATATTTATAGAACATACCTATATTGAGTTTGAGTTTGTCTTGATCTTTCGGGTTTTGTTTTGGCTTGCACAACAACGTTGAAAATCTATTTTTAACTGACGACGATTTCTGTATATATTGTGCTCAGAACTGTTGCTTTTCGTAAAAACGTCCACTAGCCGATGGGTTTTTAGACACTTTTTCTTCTTTGTAAACCTTTTTTTTCATTTTAAGTCTCGATATAAAAATTTTTGCAAACTCTGCAGTTGAAAAAACAATTCGCTAGTGATGGCACAGAATAGGAAGTTATACCACAGATGAGGTAATACAGATGTGAATCTCCTGTGAAAATGTGTCACACGGATTAAATAAACTTTAAAATTGTGTTAATTCACTATTTTATTAAATTTTGATAATGCAGAGGAATAAAACTATACATATTATAGAAGTATTCATGTTTTTTTTAT